GTTATTGGTAACATTATAGATATATCCTTTTATATCATTTCAGCGGTATACATTTTAAAATGGAATAGTTTGATATATACTTTAATTATGGTAAGATGCACATAACATAAAGTTTTCCATTTTAACCATTTTTAAGCATACAGTTCTGCGGCATTAAGTACATTCACATTTTTGTGCAACCATCACCATAACCTACCTCTAGAAATTTTTCATCTTCCCCAACTGTAACCGCGTACACAGGGAACCCTCTGGCTGTCCAGTGGTTAGCATTTTCCCTGCCGAGTCCTGGGTTCAACCTCTCGTTGGGGAACCAAGATCTCACACACCACCGACTCAGCCATAAAACCCCACACAAAACAAAAACAACTGAGTACCCGCTCAACAACAACTCTCCATCTCTTCCTCCCTCATTTAGATGGCATTCTACTCTCTGACTGAATTTTACCACTCCAGCTATCTAAGTGGGATCGTACAGTATTTGTCCTTTGTCACCAGCTTATTTCACTTAGCATGATGTCCTCGAGGTTCATTCACACTGTAGATGTGTTGGAATCCCCGTCCTGTTGAGGCCGAGTGATAATGTTCCTTTGTTTTGTTGTTCGTTGTTGTTCAGTTGCTGAGTCGTGTCCGGCTCTTTGCGACCCCATGGACTGCAGCGCGCCGGGCTTCCTGTCCTTCTCTGCCTCCCGGAGCTTGCTCAGACTCACGTCCGCTGAGTCGGTGACGCCGTCCCACCATCTCCGCTGTGTGGATGTACAGCATTTGCTCATCCCTTCGTCCTGGATCGTTTCACATTGGCGTTGTTTCTACGTCTGGCTGTTGTGAATAATGCTGCTGTGAATACGGGTACGCATATATATGTTCCATTTCTTTTGGATATGTACCCAAAGAGGAATTGCTGGATCACATGATCATCTGGTTGACTTTTTGAAGAATTGCTATAATGTTTTCCACAGCAGCTGTACCAGCAGCGTACAAGGGTTCCAATTTCTCTGCATCCTCGCCAACATTTGTTATCTTTAGTTTTTCGTAATATCCGAATGAGTGTGCAGTGGTATCTCCTTTCAGTTTTGACTGGAATTTCCCTAATGATGGGTGATGTTGAGCACTCTCCATGTGCTTATTGGCCACTTGTATGTCTTCTTTGGAGACATAGCTATTTAAGTTCTTTGTCCATTGAAAAACCAGGATGATTTTTGCTGTTGTTGCTGTTGATATGTAGGGGTTATTTATTCATTTGAAATCGAGGTATCACTGATATACAACATTAATTAGTTTTAGTTGTGCAATATAATGATTTGATATTTTTATACATTGTGATGATCACCACAGTAAGTCTAGTTAACATCTGTCACCTTATATGGTAACAGATATTTTTCTTGTGATGAGAGCTTTTTACTCTCTTAGCAATTTTCAAATCTGCAATACAGTGTTATTAATAATAGTCATCATGCTGTACATAACATCCCCATGACTTTTCTACTTTATAACCTGGAAATTTGTGCTTTTTGACCCATCTCACTCATTTATCCCATCTTCTACCCCCACCTCTGGCAACCACCAGTCTGTTCTATGAGTTTCTTTTTTTGTTTCTGTTTTAGATTCCACATATACATGATATCATATGGCATTTCTTTCTCTGACTTATTTTGCTTAGCATAATGCCCTCGAGGTCCATTCATGTTGCAAGTGGCAAGATTTCATTCTTTTTCAGGGCTGTATAATATTCTACCCCATACCACATTTTCTTTATTCATCCACTGATGGACACTTAAGTTGTTTCCATTTCTTGACTACTGTGAATAATGCTGCAGTGAACATGGAGGTGCATATATCTTTTCGAGTTAGTGTTTTAATTTTTTCCAGATAAATACCCAGAAGTGAGATTGCTGGATCATATGGTAGTTCTACTTTTAATTTTATGAGGAAACTTCATAATATTTTCTGTAATGGCTGCACCAATTTACATTCCCAGCAACACTACATGAAGGTTCCCTTTTCTCCACATCCTCGCAGACACTTGCTATTTCTTGCCTTTTTGTTTATGACCATTCTAACAGGTGTGAGGTGATAGCTCATTGTGATTTTGATTTGCGTTTCCCTATGATTATTGATGTTGAGCATCTTTTCATGTACCTATTGGTCGTCTGTATGTCTTCTTTGGAAAAATATCTATTCGGTTCCTCTTCCCATTTTTAAATTGGATTGTTTGCTCTTTTGCTATTGAGTTACATGAGTTCTTTATACATTTTAGATATTAACTTCTTTTTTTTTAAGATATTAACTTCTTATCAGATATATGACTTACAAATATTTTCTCACCAGCTTATTTTTGGTTAATAAATGCAGTATGTTACCTTTTCATTTGTTGATGATTCCCTTTTTTAAAAAAAAGTTTAAAAAGTTTTGAATTTACTGGCTGCGCTGGGTTTTCCCTGCTGTGCACAGACTTTCCGTAGTCGCAGCCAGTGGGGGCTTCTCTAGTTGCGGTCGAGGGCTGCTTGTTGCGGAGCATGGGCGCTGGGCTCAGGGCTCCGTGGTTGTGGTTCACAGGCATGGTTGCCTCTCAGCACACGGAATCTTCCCAGAGCAGTGCTCGAACCCATGTCCCCTGCATTGGCAGGTGGATTCTTAACCACTAGACCACCAGGGAGATCCTGATGATTTCCTTTGAGAGGCTTTTATTTTTGGCTTCTGTTGCTTTTGGAGTCAGTTTTTTAAAGAAATCATCACCCAGACCTATGTCAAGGAGCTTCCTGAGGAGCTCTTTGTATATTCTGGATGTTAATCCCTTATTAAATATATAATTTGGGAACACTTTCTTCCATTCTGTGTATTGTCTTTCTGCTCTGATAATAGTGTTCGTTGATGAAGGGAAGTTTTTAATTTTGATTAAGTTCAACTCATCCATTTTTCTCTTTTGTTGCCTGTGCTTTTGGTGTCATATCCAAGAAATCATCGCCGAATCCCATGCCGTGAAGGTTCCCCCTTATCTTCTTATAAGACTTTGTTTGAGCTCTGACCGTTAGAGCTTTGATCCATTTTCAGTTAATTTTAGTGTATACAGTGTACAGGCTAAGGTAAGGATCCAACCTAATCAATCAATTATTTTGCACGTGGATATCCAGTTTTCCCAATACCATTTGCTGAAAAAACCATACTTTTCTTATCGGATGGTTCTGACAATTTTGTTCAAAATTATTTACCCATATGTGCAAGGATTTATTTGAGGGCTCTCTAGTCTTTCCGTTGGCCTGTATGTTTGCCTTTATCATACTATTTTGATTACTGTAGCTTTGAAACCAGGAAGCTTGAGACCTACAACTTTGTACTTCTTTTTCAAGACTGTTTTGGCTACTGTGGATCTCAAGAGTTCATGTGAACTTCAGGATAGATTTTTCTGTTTCTGTAAAAAATGTCATTTGGATTTTGATAGGAATTCTGTTGAACCTGTAGATGATATACACTGTTTTTAAACTATCTTTTTTCAACGAAATGTTTTGAGTATATGAACAGCATATCAGGAATATCTTTATGTTCATAACTTACTTCGACAGCATCATTGTAAGGGCTGCATAGTGTTCTATACATGGATACATTCTAATCTACTGAGTCACACTCTGTGCGGTGCTTTCTTAGTCGCTCAGTTGCGTCCAGCTCTTTGCGACCCCGCAGACTGTAACCCTCTGTCCGCGGGGATTCTCCAGGCAAGAACCCGGGAGTGGGTTTTCATGCCCTCCTCCAGGGGATCTTCCCAACCCAGGGATTGAACCCAGGTTTCCCTTGTTGCAGGTGGATTTTTTACCATCTGAGCCACCAGGGAAGCCCCAGTCACAGCCTATTGTTTGGTGTTTAGGCTATTTCCCATTTTTTATTTTCTAAAGAACGCATGATAACTAGTTTTGTACCATTATCTTTTCAAATATGGACTTTTTCTGGAGACAGTGGTCATCATTTGAGTTTTAACTATAGAGAGAACATTGACCTGAGAAAGAACTTTAAAAACTATTTTCTTGGAACCTCTCCATTTTTTAGAAGTCTTTTTTGATTTTGTCACAATATTGCTTCTGTTTTGCGTTTTGGTTTTTTGGCCATGAGGCGTGTGGAATCTTCCCAACCAGGGATCGAACCTGCAGCCCCTGCCTTGGGAAGCGAAGCCGTAACAACCGGACCACGAGGGAAGTCCCAGGACCCCTCCGTTTAACAAGTGAAAACGAAAGGTTCCCAAAGCATCAGTGGTTTGTGAATGCTCAGACACTTAGCTATGGCTGGGCTTGAACCCTGACTCCGTCACTAACAAGCTAGATGAGTTTGAAAGTGTTAGCCTGCCAGGCTCTTCTGTCCATGGTGTTCTCCAGGCAAGAATACTGCAGTGGGTAGCCATTCCCTTCTCCAGGGAATCTTCCCAACCAGGGATTGAACCCTAGTCTCCTGAATTGTAGGCAGATTCTTTACCATCTGAGCCTCCAGGGAAACCCCTGGATGAGTTTAGGTAACTACCTTAATCTTCTTTCATGGATAAAATGGGAGTAACAGAAAAAAAAAAAGAGAGAGAGAGAGAGAAACAATACTCAGCTTATAGGGCAAATGAATTAGCTCAAAGCCCAGTATAAATTACACATTCGATTAACACTTCTCCCACTCGTTATCCCTAGGATGCCTGAAATTAGAACTCAGGATCTTTCTTAATCTAGTCTTTCTATTACTATAGCAGAGACTGGAGATACTTTTTAACATTTTCTGGCCGAGTGGCTTTCGGAGTCTTAGTCTCCCTCACCAGCAGTCTCACCTGAACCCCCTGGAGTGAAAGCGTGGAGTCTTAACCACTGGACCACCAGGGAAGTCCCCTGAGATACTTTTTCATTCCATAGTCTCATTGGAAAGAAAGGAAAAGACACCCTTTCTCCTCCTTCTATCTAACCACAATCCTTTACTAATCCTTTAATTAACTGTCATATTTATAATAATTATATAATCGTTTATATGTTATATGTACTTACATTAATTTATAATAAAAGTAGAGTTTATATTCATTATTTGCCAGGCAGTGTTCTGAGCGCTTGATGCGTGATAATTCGTTTAACACTTTCCGGCAGGGAAAGTGGAAACCAGCGTGGATGAGAAGGCGCAGGTCTGGCCGGCCGCTGTCAGGCGGACATGCACGACGCCCGCTGCGAGGGAACCAGGAGGCCACTGTCCTGCAGCCAGAGACACTGCGGTTGGAAGACGTCATAACTCGCTTTTTTCCTGCTGAGACACAGGTCTCTAAAACCAGTGACTGCCACACACCCCTTGCTGCCTTGGATGTTATCAGTAGGAATTTTGGAGAAGGTTGGCAAGTTTGAGGCAAACATCGCGTTCTTGCCCCGAGGGCCTAAGTCACTTTGACAGAGAAGCAGTCCTGATCTCCAGACCCCAGACCGAGTGCAGGGCCACAACACTCCACATCTATCTACATTTGTAGTTTCCATGGAAACAGGACTCTGAGTCAACATTGCCACCTGGACCTGATGTCAGTCCCTTTAAACTTAGCCCTGCTTTGCTGTGATGCCATCAAAACATTTCATTTCAATTCCACCTGAACGCCGCCCTTCCCCAAAGTTCTCCGGTAACCTTATCTTTTCCTGTTTGGTTTCTTTGCTGTGTCTTCTCCCTGGCTGCAGTGGGTTGAAACGCCTGCCTTTGTCACATTATAGACCTGTTATCGATCAGGCCTTAGCTTGATTGGTTTGGGGCATAATTTCCTTAAAACTTTATTTTTATTTGGAGGATAATTGTTTTACAATATTGTGCTGGCTTATTCCATACAAGAATGTCAATCACCCACAGCTGTGCATGTATCCCCTCCTCTTGAACCTCCCCCGTAACCCTCCACCCCATCCCACCCTCGAGGCTGTCAGAGTGCCGACTGAGCTCCCTGTGTGACTCAGCGACTTGGGACCTAACTTTTTAAGCCTCAACTCCGAGGATGCCCTTGAGAAACCGGGGCTGCGTGTCACCTCAGTTCAGGGCTTGGATATCAGAATCACCCGCAGAACTTGATAAAGCACGGACTGCTGGCCCCCACGGGGGTGCTGACCTCCCAGGGTCTCTGATTTGAAACTTCCTGGTGGGACCCCTAGAAGCTGCATTTCTAGCAAATTTCCAGATGATGCTGATGCTGCTCATTCCAAGGGACCACACTTTGGAAACGCTGACGTAATTAACGTGATAAACTTTACATAATAGCGTTACAAGGATCAAGTGATGAGTGTATGAAGAACTCGATTCAAGATTTGGCATAAATGTAAGCTAGCACTAGGATCCAACCATTTTATCCTAAAGGAAACCGGTCCTGCATATCCATTGGAAGAACTGATTCTGAAGCTGAAACTCCAATGCTTTGGCCACCTGATGCAAATAACTGACTCATTTGAAAAGACCCTGATGCTGGGAGAGATTGAAGGTGGGAGGAGAAGGGGACGACAGAGGATGAGATAGTTGGATGGCATCACCGACTCAATGGACATGAGTTTGAGTAAACTCTGGGAGTTGGTGATGGACAGGGAGGCCTGGCGTGCTGCAGTCCATGGGGTCAAAAAGAGTTGGACATGACTGAGCAACTGAACTGAATTGAACACTACTAGTTTTTAAAAGATTTTTTTGATGCACATTATCTTTGAAGTCTGTGTTGAATTTATTACAATATTGCTTCTGTTTTATGTTTTGGTTTTTTTGGCTGTGAGGCTTGTGGTAACTTTTTTTTGATTTATTTTTTAACCACAGGAAAACTGTTTTACAACGTTGCATTGGTTTCTGCCACACAACGAGGCGAGTCAGCCATAGTTATGCGTACCTCCCCTCCTTCCTGCGTCTCCCTCCTCTCAGCCCAGCTCTCCTGGTCACCACAGACCACCAGGCTGGACTCCCTGTGCTGTGTGAGAGGTGGTACACATATGCAATGGAATATTACTCAGCCATAAAAAAGAATGAACTCGAGTCAGTTCTAGTGAGATGGACGAACCTAGAGCCTACTATACAGGCATGTGGGATCAGCTCCCTGCCCAGGGATCCAACCTGCACCCCCTGCATGGGAAGGTGACGTCTTAACCGCTGCACCACCCGGGAAGTCTCTATTACTACTATTTTAAAGTGAACTACTCAGAGTCTCAAATAATCCACTCACCCATCCGTCCTACCCCTGAGAGCTCACAGCCCAGGGGTGGCTAGACCGACCGACTCATTACAGCGCTGGGCGAAACGAAACAAGCTCTTTGTGGAGATGCCGGAAACACGAACTCAGAGTCCTGTCGTAAATATGTCATTTTGTATATTTCCCCCATTGAGTATTTTTATCGTGAACATTTCACCTTGTCATCAGAAAACCTTCCAAACCAGAAATAAGGACTTACGCCTATGCTGAATTTCTGCTTAACCATCCTATTGTTGGAGATTTAATTTCTTCTAAGTGTCCCTAATATAAACAACTGTCCTGTGAAGGTCTTTGTAGCTAAGCTGTTTGTCAGACTCATAGGTGACTTTCAGCAAGAGGCCTCAAAGGAGGAAATGACTGGGGCAAATGGCATGGACTTTGAAACATCTCCCACTAGCTATTGCCAAATTTCTTTCCATCTTGAAACAAAAAGTTGCGGGTTAACGCTTCCAAATGGCAACACCTGTGCACCTTTTGTAAGATTTCCACCATTCTAAGCACCAGGCAAAGATTACGGGGTCCCAGCAGTGTGTGTTCACCTTCAACCTTTGCCTTTCACTGCTTTTTAAAAAAGAAAAATTATGTATTTCTTGGTTGGTTTTTGGCTGCCCTGAGTCTTGGTCGCTGCGTGCGGGCTTTCTCTGGTTGCAGCGAGCAGGGGATGCTCTACAGTTGCGGTGTGCGGGCTTCTCATTGCAGTGGCTCCTCTGGTCGCAGAGCGGGCAGGCAGACTTAAGTAGCTGTGGCTCCTGGGCTCTAGAGCACAGGCTCAGTAGCTGTGGTGCTCGGGCTTAGCTGCTGCGTGTCATGTGGGATCTTCCCGGACCGGGAATCGAACAGGTGTCCCCGGCATTGCAAAGTTAATTCTTCACCACTGGAACATCAGGGAAGCCCAGCCTTTCGCTGCTTCTTGCCGAGACTAAATGGCCTTGTTGGCCCAGATTGTCCCAGCATCTTCTACCCCTTTCTTCTTGGGTGGGAGGGCAGTCTTGGGCCGGTGTTTGCAGTGATGTGAGCGCCTTATTTCAGCTTTCCTTCAGTTGTGTCCAGTTGCTCAGTCGTGTCCGACTCTTTGCAACCCCATGGACTGCAGCACACCAGGCCTCCCTGTCCATCACCAACTCCCAGGGCTTGCTCAAACTCATGTTCATCGAGTCAGCGATGCCATCCAACCATCTCATCCTCTGTCCTTCCCTTCTTATCCTGCCTTCAATCTTTCCCGGCATCAGGGTATTTTCCAATGAGTCAGTCCTTTGAATCAGGTGGTTAAAGTATTGGAGTTTCAGCTTCAGAATCAGTCTTTCCAATGAATGTTCAGGACTGATCTCCTTTAGGATGGACTGGTTGGATCTTTTTGCAGTCCAAGGAACTCTCAAGAGTCTTCTTCAACACCACAGTTCACAAGCATCAATTCTTTGGCTTTCAGCTTTCTTTATAGTCCAACTCTCACATCCATACATGACTACTGGAAAAACCATAACTTTGACCAGATGGACCTTTGTTGGCAAAGTAATATCTCTGCTTTTTAATATGCTGTCTAGTTTGGTCATAGCTTTCCTTCTAAGGAGCAAGTGTCTTTTAATTTCATAGCTGCAGTCACCATCTGCAGTGATTTTGGAGCCCAAGAACATAAAGTCTGTCACTGTTTCCACTGTTTTCCCATCTATTTGCCATGAAGTGATGGGACTGGATGCCACGATCAGCTTTCCTTGCCCTGTCCCTAATGGTGCATGAATAGTTTTATGGGTTTTCAGTGAAGTGTGAAAGGAGAGGAGAGAAACTATTTCCTGGTGAACTTTACTTAACCCAAGACTTGGCTGAAATCTGAATAAACTGAGGCAAGTGATAACAGAGCTTGAAATGGCTAAGTGTATGGTCAGCCCTCATTTAACAGAAATTGCTCTTCAAAGGGAACAGTGTCTCCACCACCATCTCCAGGGACAAACCAGCCTTTCCTGTGAATACAGCATCCCCGTGGGTATACAGTGCCACCTTTTCAGTCCTGCCCTTGCTGCTAAGGACTCATGCCAACCCCACAGGAGAAACCTCTAGAACCCGCTCCCTGCGGCCACATTTGTTCTCTCCACCCCTGAAAGCAGCAGGGGGGAGGTGAGTTCTTTGCATACATGTCTCACTCAATACTCACAAGTATCAGTGGCCCATTTCACAGCTGAGAAAACTGAGGCTTAGAGTGGGAACTTGCCCAAAGGAGAAAGCAGGTGAGCTGGAGCTGGAAGGTGGCCTGTGTCCAGAGGTTGGACAGGCGGCTCCACGTCAGTGCCGGGGGAGGTCTGCGGACCACTGCTGCGCCCGGTCTTTCCCCGCCACCACTCGCTTACATCATGTGTGGAGCTCATGTCCATGCGTCTGTCCCGGCTAATTGTTGTCATCTCCTAACCCGGATGCCTGACTGGCTGTTCTCTGGATGACCCGCCTCAGCTCAGGGCAGCCCCAGCCTGGCCGCCCAGAGATGCGTGGGGATAGCCTTCCTGTTCCTTCTGTCCTCCAACCTCTGTTTCCAGAAGGAATGATTTTGGTCAAGAAAATAAACCAAGGAGGGGGAAATGTCTTCATTTCCATTTTTGTAGTTCAATTTTTTGTTTTGTTTAATTAATTGAAAGTTGATTTATGAGCTTGTGTTAGATCCAGATATGCAGCAAAGGGATTCGGTTCTGTTTATATACGAAAAGGAAAGCGTTAGCCACTGTCGTGTCCGACTCTTTGAAACCCTACGGACTGTACCCCGCCAGTCTCCTCTGTCCATGAAATTCTCCAGGTAAGAATACTGGAGTGGGTTGCCATTTCCTTCTCCAGAAGATTTTCCCAACCCAGGGATCAAACCAGGTCTCCTGCCTTGCAGGCAGATTCTTTACCATCTGAACCCCCACGGAAACCCATTGATGATAGATATATATATGGATATGGATATAGATGTAGATATAGACATACATATAGCTATAGATATAGATAGGGCTTCCCTGGTAGCTCAGCTGGTAAAGAGTCTGC